GGGGGGGGGGGGGGGGTAATTGGAAAATATTTATTCACCTCCGCCAGTGCGACGTGCTATCGATGTCTCATTTAAACCTTGGTAGTGGTTTCATTCCGGTCACTTGATTTATTAGATTTGGTGAAAACAAATTAAGGAGATGGTGTGTGGTACCATGTGCGCAATTGAGGATACAAGGTGTCCGCTGGAAAGCTGTTATGTTAAGTTCTGGTTAGTTGCGAAAAATGTCTCGAGATCAGTGATACATCCAATCAAATAGGGGCCTTAAGATCTGAGGACGGCGGCGGCGACGGCGAAAAGGTCGCTCAAAAAGTGATACAGCGTTCCTTCAATCTTCTTCGCGATCACTTGAACTCACTTACTTTTTGTGTTAGCGAACTCTTCTAGAGTTGAATTCCTTAGAAACATATCCAAGTTCAGAAGGAAATAGAAATCCTCGTCGTGGCTTGTTCACGTCCTCCATAAAACGTGAAATGAGGCATTTTCACGTCGTATTTGTGCATTGACGGCAAAGCAATTTACACTGAAAAAAAGTGTGGTGCACGTGCAAAGTTGTTGTTTTCAAAATCAAACCTATAGATCGTTTTCAGTCACGTGGTCAGCAGCAAATTGCTTGGAATAAAATGCCCACAGGATTTTTTTGGTAAACAAACATGGCCGCCGATCCATTGTTTTGTACACAAATACGGCCGCCCTGACGTCATGTGAAAACGAATTATTGCTTTTGTTGACGTTCTCGTTGCTGTCGCCGTTGTCGAACCTTAACGTCGATCCCTAATGTCTTAGTAATGCAAACGTGTTTTATTATTCTTCAGGTTCAAGTATTCCAGTCGTTCTTCGTGTCACTAAACCTACCATACTCTGTTATTCGCGGTGAAGAATTGGCTCTTCAAGTCACAGTCTTCAACTATGAGCCTAAAGCCCAACAAGTCACCGTAACACTGAAGGGTTCCAAACACTGGGCCATTATCGATGAGGTCAATAAACTCGGGCTGAGAGGACAAAATCCAGTAAATAAAGATTACGTGGAGAAAGAAATGGACCTCAAAGTTGTGGTGTCTGTGGGAGCTGGTCAAGGACGGGCCATTTCCTTCCCCGTGGTCCCTAGAACATTAGGCCTCGTCCCAGTTGAAGTGCGGGCTCAGTCTACCAGCCACGCTGATGCTGTCAAACGAAACTTGTTGGTTGAGGTAGGTGAACAGTGTGTGTATGCTATTCGGTTGGTGTTCTACGTCGCGTTGACTACAATCTGTGTAAAGGAGTTTAAGCAGCGACGTTTTTGAGTGACGCACGTTAACCGGAAGTGGAGTTATTGCACTCTTGGGCCGTGATTTTGAACAAGTCTTTGGGCAAATCGTCTTTTAAAGATTGTATTAAAAGTGACTTTCTTCGATTCGTTGTGTAATGTCGAGTTTCATTCATGTCGTCTTGAATGCTGGGATAAATTAGTTATGCAATGCTTTCTCCAGGTAAACCGTCGATATCTCACTCGTGCCTTGATTTTTCCTAATGTACAAACTCGTGTGTATAATCAAGTCACTCATGGGATATTTCTGCAAAGCATTGTATGACTAGTATATATTTGTGAATTTGTTTCGTATTCAATTCAATACAACACAATAACTTTTTTTAAAGAAAAAGACGTAATAACCTTTAACAGTTTTCTAACTTTACGGCCCTCTAAAGGTATTCTGCAATCAGCATTGCAGTTGAGGGAGGTTAAAGAAGCTGTGTGGCGAAAATTTAGACAAATTCAACTACTGGGAATGGTCCACCAAACTGAGTGATTCAGAAACCCTTTCAGTCCCAAGAGTGACCAAGATCAATTTTCTCTTTACAATATCAATATACAATGAAAAGAAAAGGGTGTGAGAATTGATTAAATGGTCAAAATGGGAAAATGCTTTTGATCTTTTATTAAATAGGCCATTTGCATGATGACGTCATTTACTACTACGACCAGAATCATTCAGGACTTTGCTTTCTTGTGCAAATAAGGGCTTTTGTTATTTTATCCTCACTGGGATTACCAAATTAAAATATGAAAGGAAAAACGAAGAGCATTCTGGTCGTAGTAGTAAAATGACGTCATCGTGCAAATGGCCCATTCTCTTAAATACCTCTGTAAGGAAATGTACAGAGATCAATCCGGAGAATTTGGATTTGGCTGTAGGCTTTTACACTGGCTAGCCATCTTTCCGCTCATACTCAATATTTGTCATTGTGTTTAAGCCGGAAGGAGTGCCGCAAGACTACTCTATCAGTATGCTGTTGGATCTTAACTCAAGTAAGAATCAAACCTTACTTGCAAACATAATGCATGGTTGTCTTTTGTATTATGTTCATAACCACAAGTTTTTTTTACAAGGGGAGATTTGTTTATGAGTAACTTCTCCCTGCATCATTTCACTCATAAATAGTTCTCCTAAACTTAGAAAATTTCACAGAAATTATTTGTCTTTAGTTTGATACCGAAGTGTACCAAGAACGGTCTGGTCTCTAGTCATAAACAGGTTCTACAACGTGGTAGGAGTTGAAGTCTTCTAAGTCCATACCCTTGTCTTGTACAAAAGGGCCTACAAAAGCTGCTCCTGAAATCCCTCTTACTCTTCCTGCTTTGATGCTTGCAACGCTTGTCTCGTGCGATGAGAAAGTCTAGTAAGGCATTCGACTTTGTATTTTTCTACAATTCGTAGCAACCCAAAACCAAAGTAACTACTACGAGACAGCACAGTCTTATCGGCAAATAATATTGCGCAATATATGTAGCCGATATATGGTGTCAAGAAAGTCGCGTTTGATTTTGATTTCCAGTATTTTCATTCGTTAATTTCTGTTTACACAAGTGGTTTTTAGTGCCACTTTCCCTTTTATTTTGATGTGATTTTAGGTACGTGCGATTTCAAATCGCATCGGTGAATTAAAGCGGTCATTTCATACCAATTTGTCTGTCCTTTTTTATCGACGAATTTCTGTTCGAGGGCAGCCAAAAATCTATCTTATGTCTCTTGGTGGGTAAGTGTTAAAATCAAATGCGCCCTACGGTAAACAAGGGCTATTGTGCCATCGTAACCAGATCTGCCTTAAACATTTTTTATTTACCTAACCCACTTAATAATGTATAATACGAAAAAACTATCCCGAATAATGTTTTTATTATTATCCTTTTGAAGCTTCAAGCCTGTCACGCTCGTTGGATCTCAATGTACCACCAAACACTGTCAAGGGATCAGCTAGGGCAACAGTTACAGTGATGGGTATGTTTAACCGTGGCCTGCGAATACAGCCGCCTCTTGTCTCTCCCCGGCCCGTTTCTGACGTTTCAGCGTCGGGGAGCGATGAGAGCCGCGTAGCAAGCTTGTTTTGCTTTTTTCTTTAACAAACTATCAGTGAATGATCAGTGAAGACATCAACCGGCGACCGACTGTTATTTGTAGTTCTGTGTAATCACACATCACGGAATGTGTGTGTTATGGTAGTTGTAATTTTAGTGAGGGTAAGTGGTATAGGTGTGTGAATTTTTTTTTTTTTTTTCAGAAAATGAGCGTTATACTGTGTTTTGCTCATTCTACAAAAGGAATCATCCGTTCTTATCTAATAAAGATACCAAAGTGAAGAATTCCAGAATAATTTCCGTTGCAATTCCTTTCTTAACAATGTTAGCCCAACGTTGATCATCATTAAACAAAGTTAACACACCGTTGATCATCATTATTTTCGTTCAGGTGACATTTTGGGCTCCTCCATAAATAACCTGGACCAGCTTGTGCGCATGCCTTATGGCTGTGGGGAACAAAACATGGTGAACTTTGCTCCAAATATTTACGTCTTGAAATATCTTCAAACTGTGAACCAGCTGACCAAGTCTCTTGAAAATAAAGCCAAGGGCTTCATGATCGCAGGTCAGTGGCATAAATCTGACTCACTAATCAGTTTTGTTGCCCTTTCTTCTTTCTTAGTAAATTATTGTCCCAGCCAGTGAATTTGGCCAAACAAGACCCGTGGCAAGAGGTAAAAATATTACAAATGGCCATACAAGAGATGCTGACGATTGTCCGCCCTTTCCTCCGTAAGAATGGCTCGCTGGACATTTTAATAATGCGGAGATTTTAACTGGCTTATTTTTCATACTGCGCACAAACGCTTGCCTCAATCTAAGTTGATAGAATTTCCCAAACTACCTCCTCTTTGCATCCTTTTATGCACTGGCCTTTAAGGAAGAGGCACAATTTGGAAGAATGCATCGCGCAACAGTTATACATGGGCTTTGGGTGGGTTACAGGAAGTTCATAAATGGACGTCCGAGCTTACTGTTAACATTTTAATATGTATGGAGTTCGCGTCTCGTTGTCATTACATAACAATACATAAAATTACAGAATCTTATCATAACAAGGCTTGATTTCCTTTACCTCGACTCTTTGTTTTTCTTTTCTAGGCTATCAACGAGAGCAAACCTACCGCCATAACGATGGCTCTTATAGCGCTTTTGGCGGAAGAGATGGATCTGGCAGTTTGTGGTAAGAATTTGAAATGTGTTTTATCAATATCTCTTACCTTTTTCAAAGGAGATACGACACGGCGTTTTCTTCTTTCATCCTTTTTATGATATCACCGGTTAGCATAAATCTTTTCGAAGTCAGTAGCTAAGTTTCTTCTACTTCTATTCCGCTTTTCTATATAATACCCTACACTACAGGACTCTCCATTGCTTATCTCAGATTTTGTTAGAAGTAACGCTATTTTGTTTTTACGCAGGTTGACTGCATTTGTGGCGAAATCATTTGCACAAGCACGTGCGTTTATTCCAGAATACATCGATGCTGAGATGTTAGAACAAAGCCTTGCTTGGATGTCTCGTCAAACCAACCGTGATGGTTCTTTCCGAAAAGTTGGAACAGTACACAGTTCTTACCTCAAGGTAGATAACTTGCTCCTCGCACACACTCTCTGCAGGTGACCCTCAGCTCAAGCTACTGGATATTACACAGTAGAACATCGACATAACGAAGTGCTAAGTTAATTTATTTGGGGAACGGTGAGGGCTTCAAGGCCTCTTTTCGTTACATCTTTTGTCCCGTTTCTCTTGCGTCACTTGGCCGTGATCAACTCAGAAATTCTCAGAACCTGCACAAGTTCGTCACTGTCCTTTCCTGCGTATGGCGTTATTTATTTTTTTGTCGTTTTCAGGGGAGTGCAAGCTATTACGAGGCGCGCGTGGAGCATAAGACACGCGCGTTGGGGGAAGGCGCGCTCCACTTCTGTCTTGTTCGCAGGACAAACGCAAATAAACCTGACTCCCGTTCTGCAGGATTTCCCTGTCCCCTGTCCCCTCGTGTTTTTGCGTCCATGATGCAGCAGTAATCGTGGGTACATAATTAAAATCCCTTGCAGAAGTGAATGGCTGTACTTGAATAGTCGGCGACATACTATCTTATAAAACGTACACATTAATAAGCCTTGTACTAGCACCTCCGTACCTTCTAACTGGAACTCTCTTTTCAATGTACTCAGGGTGGTCAGGCAGGTACCATCTCTCTGACTGCATATGTACTCATTGCTTTGGCTGAAGCGAATTCCAACTCGAAGGTAAGATTTTCAGTAGTACATGCTTGCTTGCTATTAGTATTAATGATTGATAGCCTCGCTAGCCAGCTAGCTTCCTCATGCTCATTATTTAAAAAAGCAGTGTCAAAGAAAATTCTTCTAAATTTTTTTTTTTAAACTTTCCCAGAATTTTGTAGGCACGCTTAGATGCCGCGCTAAATAGCCCTCAAACATAAAAATTAACTTCAGTGTCTTGGATGTGAAGAAACGCTTAAGCGATGTTTTCCAATTAAAACAAGCAGACATGAACTTGAAAACGCTGGTCGGGTTTTTTCTAGTCTCAGTCAACTTCCATCCAATTCCCCACTTCAGAAACTCTATGGAGAATGTGTACGAACTTCAGGTGCAGTGATTTCTGAGATTGTTTGGCAACCACTAAACAATTATAAGTAACGCTTGTCCACCCATTCCCAGAAATCGTTGCGCTGAAAGCTTGTACCCATTCCCCTTGTAGTTTGTGGGGTGCGGAATTGACCTTTTTGAGGTTGCCTGTAGACTGAGTGGGTGTTTTGTCAAATGGCACTATGCGACTGTTTTGGTGGACGAATTTTAACCCAGTTTCCTGCCCAACTTCGTAAATCCTTTTTAAAGAAGTGATATTGTCCATACGGTACCATAGTGAACTTCGACCCAACACTGACCCAGTCTCACGTTTAACCTCGAAGCGGTCAATCCATCCTAAGTCAAACACACCTACTACCACTGATTATGTGCTAGGGTATTAACTTCAATATTCCCCTAAGGTATTTGAACGGCTTTATCTATTCCCACCGTATTGTCGACTATTCCATATGTTGGTGAAACAGGGATGGGGTTAGCCGATCGATCTGTTTCCTTTGTAGGCTGTAGTTAATGCCAAGAATAACGCCATAACATTCCTGGAAGGCAAGATCGATGCCATGTCAAGTGACGTCAAAGACGCCTACACTTTGGCCATCACTTCCTACGCTTTGACCTTGGTTGGTAGCTCAAAAAGGACTAAAGCCCTCAACGAGCTGCGCAAATTAGCGACCGAAAAAGGTAAACCTACGATTGACTGACGGACTGTGCTGTCCACCCCGTTTGGTCTTCAGGCGCTTAACAGTATGCCTTTTGGACTGACAAATCTTCCTTCCTCATTTTAGCGACTAGAAAGATATTAAATTTTGATAGTATCCTAACGTGGCAGGCTGGCGTCTTGAAAAACAGGTCAATTTTGGTTGAGACTAAAGAAATCAAAGTGCAAAATATCTGTTAATGCTCCACTGAGCGGGCCTTTCCCAATGCGTCAGTGTCGTTTTTGTAATACTAGCCAAGAGAACTTGTTGAACGTAAAAAAAAAAAAAAATAGGCGAAATACCGCACAAATGTGCTTGACAAGCTCTACTGACTAAGTCACTCACTTGAAAATTCCTGGGGAAAAAATTCATTCTTAGTATTAGCTAGTATTCTTGAAAAACTGACCATGTTTTTTTAGTGAGCGATCCTGTATAAATGTAGTTTTGGTACCTTTAGTTCAATTCCCGCTAACAATATGGCCATGGCGAACAAAATGTGGTTCTAATTTACTCAAGTACCTTTGTGTGTTGTTCTCAAATTATGCGTATCATTTCGATAAGAAGTAGCTTCTTATCGCCGTTCGCTTGTTTTTCTTTTCCTTCAGACGGTCTGATTTACTGGCAGCAAAAACCAGACCATACACCCAACGACAACCCGTGGCTGCGCCCGTATTACCGACCACGAACAGCAGACATTGAAATAACGGCATACGCTCTGCTGGCGTACACGCTGGAGAAAGACATCGGTGTGGGACTAGCAGTTTCACGGTGGTTATCACAGCAGAGAAATTCTTTGGGTGGATACTCATCAACTCAGGTAGATCCCTTTTNCTAAGTCACTCACTTGAAAATTCCTGGGGAAAAAATTCATTCTTAGTATTAGCTAGTATTCTTGAAAAACTGACCATGTTTTTTTAGTGAGCGATCCTGTATAAATGTAGTTTTGGTACCTTTAGTTCAATTCCCGCTAACAATATGGCCATGGCGAACAAAATGTGGTTCTAATTTACTCAAGTACCTTTGTGTGTTGTTCTCAAATTATGCGTATCATTTCGATAAGAAGTAGCTTCTTATCGCCGTTCGCTTGTTTTTCTTTTCCTTCAGACGGTCTGATTTACTGGCAGCAAAAACCAGACCATACACCCAACGACAACCCGTGGCTGCGCCCGTATTACCGACCACGAACAGCAGACATTGAAATAACGGCATACGCTCTGCTGGCGTACACGCTGGAGAAAGACATCGGTGTGGGACTAGCAGTTTCACGGTGGTTATCACAGCAGAGAAATTCTTTGGGTGGATACTCATCAACTCAGGTAGATCCCTTTTCACCTTTGAGCCCAAACATGTACGTGCATATTCTCCAAACTTTGAAACCAAATCTTTGAACATTTCTAAGGCAACTCGTTTTAAAACGGACATTTAAGTCTTTTCTTTAGAGATTTTTGTTGTTATCGTTGGCATTTGCGATGTTTTAACCAAGTCTAAGCCTTGCTGTCTATTTGTAGTTTGGCTTTTATTACACTACTCGTTTATCAGAATGTCTTTGTAAATCGCCAGACATCTGTCCAGAACAAATGGATGAATGAAGTACAGTACTTATGTAAAGTGGCATTTTATCCACAAAATTTTGAGTTGTGCTATAACGTTTGATACGGCCCACCCACTAAGCTTGTAAATGCGAATGCAACATCAGACCGGCCGAAAAAGCTATCTACAGGATCATAACGCTATTTGTTTTCCTAATACGTATCCGTTGGATAGTGATTCATCCGTTGGATAGCGCAATTCAACTTTCAAACCAAAACGCTCGGAGAAATGCATTCTTAAATCCCCTATTTCCTTCCTAACGGACGCCTTTCCAAGATGGCCTAGTTAAAATAACCGTCATAAATCTTTTTTTTTTAAGGACACAGTTATGGGTCTACAAGCCCTAGCGGAGTTCGCAGAGCTGATATATTCCCCGGATATTGACTTCACTGTTACGCTTAGCTCTAGTGCAGACCCGGCGTTTAGTGAGACGATTAATGTAAATCAACAAAACTCCATGGTATTGCAGTTAGTAGAGGTAATTAACCATTTTAGTTCTGTTCAATATACGTATGGAATTAGCCATTGACTAGCATAATTTGGTCAGTTTTTCTTTCATTTTCTCAGTTTAAATTTAGTACTCCAGTCAACCCTCCAAGCTGGGACCATTTTTGTCGCCATGGTGCCTACATTTTGGAGCTGGCGACTTGATTTGTAAAAAAGTCTCCCTAAACCAAAAGAGTTGGTTGCCAAATGGCGACCAAGCAAAAACTTTAACTTGGAGGTTTGGTCTAGTAAAGTTTCACATGCAAAGACCGGGTGGAGTTGGGTGGTGAAGATTGCCCATGATCCGGAGGACATTTAAACTTTCGGTGTTTTCTCCCATGTGAGATTCGACGTCTGACTGCAACCAAAACACTAGGGTAATACGCCGTGTGCTTTTCAATGTTTTTGCTGCCGGGGGTTTGGAGTTGACTTGGACAATGTGGTACAACCCCTTCTCTAACGCTTTGTAGCTATAAACTGTTTGCATTCTTTATAGATAGCAAACGTGGCAGGGACACTAACAGTGACAGCAAATGGCCGCGGAATAGGAATGTTGCAGGTATGTAAATAGATGCTCATGATAGTGGTAATCACTAACTTATGTCCCCGGACTCTTGGCTCATGATGAACTGATGTGTATTCTGTAACTTGATTCTAAAGATGACTCTGACTCTCAAGAGAACTTTGTACCAAACAGGTTGTCGAAAGTCAGTCACTGTCAACAACAGTCCTATTCGTGACTACACTTACCTGGCCGATCATACAGTAAGCACCCGTGAATAAGAACCTAGTGGATTAAGAACTTCCTTGCAAAAATATGCCACGTTAATACTCAAAAATGAAAGAACCTGTTTAGCCAAGTAAGATCAAGCAGGTTCTTTTCTGTGGGTTACAGTTAAATTATGATTAACACTAGAAAAATTTTAACCAACGTGTTAGACTTTGAGATTGCATACGTATATTACAAGAAAATACTGTGACAAACTGTAATTACTTATAAAAGTATTACTGTAATTCCTACAACAAAAACAGGTTTATATAAAGTACAGACCGTAATAGGCCATTTCCGAGTTCCCCCGGGCCTCTGCTTCAAAACGAGGGTAGATGCTCAGCCTTTGATATGAAATCATTTTTCATTCTCATACAAATAAAACTCATTTTCACAAGAAAGGTTGTGCACCTAGCCTCATTTTGAAAGCGAGGGCTTCATGGACCTTGCATAAAGGAGGTTTACAATGTACGGTTGTAAATACATACTGTATATTCAAGAATCAAACTCAAATTTATTTTATTGTTCTGGCAATCAACAACAGTATAACCCCTTCATATAAATTAAGAACCTACTTAGCCTAAATGGCCGATAAATACCCCAAGAAACAAGACGGAAGAACTATTTGCCAGACTTCAAAAAAGTAGGTTCTTATCCGCGGGTGTTTCAGTTCTGTATTCCACCTTCAGTTATGAAATGACCTCTGGGTTCAAACGTTTCGCTGTTCTATAACTTAGGTTGGTGTTTCGTATAACGTGGACAAAGCTCCACCGGAAAGTTCGTTCGATTTCTCGTTGGTCGTCATGCGGGAAACCGACTATGAGATAGAACTCAAAGCTTGCTCCAAGTGGACTGAGAAAGATCAGGAATCAGGTATGGCCGTGATGGATGTCGGGATACCCTCAGGATTTGAACTGAACTGGGACAGTGTTGAAAAGGTGAGAATGCTGATATTTAAGAGTACAAAAAAATGCGCGGACACGTTTTTAAGCTAGTGTCCTTAAGGCATTTGATTTCAAGAGACCTTTAAGGTCTAAGACGAGGACGAGATTTCCTCAATACTAAGTAGTACGCGCGGTCGTGCGCGCGCGTAAAGCAGGGTCCTTTTGGCGGGAAAGCGTGGTGGCGGTCGTTTTTCTACGACATGTTTTAGCGAGATTAGAGAGCTTTAGATTCGAGGACGAGAACGACTACGAGTACGAGATTTGATTTAAAGTTTTTTCACTTATTGTTAAAATATAGACACCCCAGAATTCTTCATTGTACTTTTTTCCACCAGAAGCGTAAGCACTGTTATCGTTATTGAAGGAGGTTAAGACCTCTCCCGATTACAAAATGTTAAGACTTATAACATTTCAGAACTTGTTCCCACCACTACGACACTCTCGTTAAAACTGGTAGTAGAATGACGACGGCTACCACGTTTTCCCGCCAAAATGACGCTGGTTAACGCACAAGCACTACTTACTTTTGAGAAAATCTCATACTCGTAGTCGTGCTCGTCTTAGAATCTGAAGGTCGCCATTCTAAGACGAGGACGACTACGAGAACGAGATTTTCCCAATACTAAGTAGTGCGCGCGCGCGAACGAACGTCATTTTAGCGAGAAAAACCGATAGCCATCGTCATTCTGTTACGAGTTTTAGCGAGAATGTCGTAGCAGCGGAAACAAGTTATCAAATGTTGGAAGTTTTATCATTTTGCGTTTGGAATAGGGCTTATCCTCCAAAAATTAACTGTGCCAACATTTTTGGCTAAAAAAGGTGCAATGAAGCTTTATTTTGAGCGACGCACGCCGACCGGAAGNTTTTTTCACTTATTGTTAAAATATAGACACCCCAGAATTCTTCATTGTACTTTTTTCCACCAGAAGCGTAAGCACTGTTATCGTTATTGAAGGAGGTTAAGACCTCTCCCGATTACAAAATGTTAAGACTTGTAACATTTCAGAACTTGTTCCCGCCACTACGACACTCTCGTTAAAACTGGTAGTAGAATGACGACGGCTACCACGTTTTTCCGCCAAAATGACGCTGGTTAACGCGCAAGCACTACTTACTGTTGAGAAAATCTCATACTCGTAGTCGTGCTCGTCTTAGAATCTGAAGGTCGCCATTCTAAGACGAGGACGACTACGAGAACGAGATTTTCCCAGTACTAAGTAGTGCGCGCGCGCGAACAAACGTCATTTTAGCGAGAAAAACCGATAGCCATCGTCATTCTGTTACGAGTTTTAGCGAGAATGTCGTAGCAGCGGAAACAAGTTATCAAATGTTGGAAGTTTTATCATTTTGCGTTTGGAATAGGGCTTATCCTCCAAAAATTAACTGTGCCAACATTTTTGGCTAAAAAAGGTGCAATGAAGCTTTATTTTGAGCGACGCACGCCGACCGGAAGTGTATTTTTTGCCTTATTTGGCAGTGGTTTTGCCCGAAATTTCGAGAAAATCGTCTGTATGAAAGTAAAGGAGCCTAGCAAAACAAATCTGGTAACGTCAAGGCATATTAAAAAGGAAGAGGCGTCACTTCCGGTAATCTCCCTCACAACCGTTTTTTGGATGTCAGGCAACGCTCGCGTTGCGTGACATCCAAAACACGGCTGCAAGGGAGACTACACTTCCGGTTGACGTGGGTCGCTCAGAAACGTCACTGCTTAAGCTCCCTATTCTTTGGAGAATACCGGAAAAAATTACTTTTAATCTCTTCCTTGTCCTTGAATCTAAAAGTCTCTACTTGGTGAAACACTACTCTAAGTGCTTTTATGGAGATCCTCTAGTGATAAATAAGGTTGGGCAAAAATAGGCCCTTTCGCCGCTTTTTCAAGATTTTTGGTAAAAACCGGTAAGCGAATATCCATCGATACTGTTGGAAAGAGCGCCTTAAAATTGTGGAACTCATTCACGTCCAAGGCGAGTAAAAATATTGCCCTCGCACAGAAAGTCACGAAATTTTACGGACGTTTTTATGGTGGGGGACACGAAATCCACCCCCACCCTACAAACTTCTGCAAAATTTCACCCTGACTTTGTGGAGTTGTAACTTGGTTTTTCCAGCGGTCTTGACGGATTTTGGCCAACTGGTCCCAGTCAAAAGTTGAAAAAACCGTCGAAATGGTCTATTCAAAGCAAATTCTTTTGCTAATGAGCATACGATATTCAAACCTCCATCGCAGCGGCGATTTTTTTTTTCTTTTCATGAATTATATAAAAGTGTGTGAGTCGAAGAGGAGCACAGTCCATTTTGCAACGCAGAGCGCTTTTCGTTTAACAGAGTAACACATGTATAGAAATATAATAGAAATACCATTTTTGAAACGTGAAAGGTTAATACGGCCCGGTTTATTTCCATTTCCTCTTTTATTTAAAGCTCATGTCGGACTCGTCCCTAAAGTTGAAGCGTGTGGAGTCTCCAGATCGCAAAGTACTTTTCTACTTCGATGAGGTAACTTATTTTGTCGCATAGCTTTCATCTTTGGTTTGTCTTTTACTTAAATTGATGACACGAGAGTGACGATCTTTTTAATAATTATTCACAGATCCCATCAAGTAAAATGGTGTGCGTTACGGTGACTTTCCAGCGAGCGTATGAAGTGGGAAAGCCTCAGCCTTCGACAGCGTCTGTTTACAGCTACTACGAACCAGGTAAAGGGCACTGACACAGTTTGTGTTCAAATATGTGAAACCTCAAACTTCAAAAAACAAGGACCTTCTACAAACCCAGCGCACTGGAAACAGCGCCCGTGGTCTCACGTGTTCATGCACACGGCAGAACATAAACAACAAAGATTTATAACAACGATTTTCATGCGAGCTAGAAAATCGTTTTCGGAAAGCAGAAAGTGTTCATTACTTGTTTTATCACCCAGTAGTTATAAAAAAATCAAAACTTGGACTCGTCGTTTTACCCCAAGGAGTCTCTAAGATAGAAAAAGCGTCATTTGATTGTCCAATCGTCGGCCAAGTTGCGTTTGGGGTGGAAAATTACTTGTCAGTTACCAATAGCAATGCTTCGCGCTAAACCATGTTTTGGTTTTGTCGACGCCTAATCATTTCAATGTAGGAAAGACTTTACGATGAATTCCCTTTGGATTCTATATAAGTACCATCCTGCGACAAAATCAAATAAAATGGTCAAGTGTTACATTTTCATTTTTTCATTTCGGGTTTTCTTCATTTCTCCTTTTTCGACAGTTAACCGTGCCGTGGCCCAGTACGCTGTCGATTCTCTAAAGGACGAAGGAGTCTGTCGCGTTTGCTCTGATTGTGTCAACTGTGAAGTCAGACCGTCTGTAAGGAAAGTAAGCTCAGCACCCGGACTGATGGCTAAAGTCTTGCTTATTTCGCTAATGTGCATCGTGGCTGTGAAATTGTATTAGAATCTTCGTGGTTGGGGAGAATAATGATGGTACGAAGTACTTACGTTACCATCATTAAATCGTTTAGATTTTTAATTACTGAATGACTCCCAATTAATGTTTGTTCAGTGCGTTTTCATGCTTGGATCATTCCGGCGGTGATTTAGTGGCTGTACTTGTAGAAGTTCCATGAAGAAATAACAGTTAGTGCTCACCACCAAGAACCCTTTTTAAGCGTAACTACAACTGAAGATATTTCATTAGTGCTCGCATTTTTTGCTTTCATCTGGACTACGTGTTGTCCTTTACGAAGAAATGAGGGACTACACGTGGTGTAGTGCCTTCAGGGTTCAATGTAGGAGTTATTAGAGAGCTTAAGCAACTACGACGACGACCACAACGACGAATTCAAAAAAACAATAGGTTTAATGATCAAATCAATAGCTCTGCACGTACATCACGCTTTTTACTACATTTCTTTGACGTCCACTGCACAACGTCGACGTGAAACCTCCCGATGCGGCGTTTTATGGATGACGTGGACATACGACGACGAATTTTCCTTCCTCTTTTTGAACCTGAATAAAATCCGTAAGAATTTAACTCCGGGAAACGTCACGGGCGTTTCACATATTGAGCGGCTCCAAACAGACGCGATTAAGTTTGAGAGAATCCATTTTTTTACCGACGTGTTCACTGCCGTCGTCGTCGTCCTTGCTTAAGGTCCCTAATTCTCTGATACGCTGTGTTGAACGTTAAGAAGGTCTTAACGTGTGAAACTGCATTCCCAAACCTAAGGTGTATAAGTCTTTATTTTTTTGCAACAGCGACTCATTCTTAAAATGCTAAGGACACTGACTTCTTAACCGAGCTGGGGTGACTCCTTAAGTGCGACCCTGCTGTGCAGTTAATGTTAGAAATGTAATGACAGATGACGTCACATTAGCCATGTTGGTATAACCCAACAAAAGGCGAATCCTGCTAACGTCATTGTTTACATTTTTGCTCATTAGCATACACGTTAACCCACAGAAGACGTCACTGTATGTGCAAGTTAGGTTCAAAAGTTGAAAGAGCTGGTTAATTTGAACAGTTTGTGCAATTTTCAGCTCTCTGGAATCAATAACAAAGGAAATATAGGCAATCAAAAACTGCGAAATTGCTGGGTGGCAAAAACGTTAATGAGTTCATTCATTCTTTTTAAAGTTTGGGGTTTTTCAAAACGAAATTTCTCCGAATTTATTCGGTGTGTCGGTCTCAAATGTTCAGATTCAGATTTGACGGGGCAGTGGGAAGCAGAGAGAGAAAGGAAGCTGCCGTTGTCTAGAGTAATGATAGAACGAAGTTCTTACGTTCCCCTTTTTGCTTCTCTCTTCTCCTCCCCTCTCCTCCCCCCCCCCTCCACCCAAACAAAATCCACAGGGGTGCATTACCTGCTCAGGCTTATCATTTATAGATTTATTATTAGCGAAGTAATTGCTATTAAATAGCCAGAATATACTGTGGATATAAGTTATATACTGTAGACATAGGAAACAAGATACTGTAAGTTATACTGTGAGAACTTAGTAGTGTTTTTAACCGATCAATTTTTACATTATGCCGACGCTTTTCTCTCTATATATATTGCTCAATATATATCCGAATAAAATCAACTTTTTATGCCAACAAGTTACCTCATACTTGATTTTTGTTTCAATTTACGATTTATCATTTCTTCAATTCAGGTCAAACAAAAAGGACACAAAAAGCTAATAGATGAAATGACCTAATATCTAAACATTTCGACAGAATTAATAACTAAGCTTCTAATATTTTCTGTAAAAGTCTATAAATCCAAGTAGGATGGTCACTGTTTTCAGACCTTATTAAAGGTTTGTTTGATCATAAATAACATTCAGTAGCTAATACCTCAGGAATTTAAGTCAAATTTTCCACTTTAAAAAACGAAATTAAAATATTGGACATTGCAGTGGAAATCCTCAGGGTTGCTCAAACAATTTGATCACATTTCCCCCTTTCTCTCACAGATGATGATCAGGTGACGTTGACTTTTTTCACTTTTTGAAGAAAGTCCGCATGCGCACTATGGACCTCGACCCAGTGTTCTTGGCCTTTGACTTTCACCATCCACGCACAGAGCCTGGGCCAAAGTATAAAGTCCAACTCCACTAATTCGGCTTGGCACATGATAGTCGCCACATAGCTGTCGGCTACCGTTAATTCCGATCCACACAAGAAGGGATGATCTTGAAGATAAAAGTTCTCAATAACCTCTAAAAGTTCACTGGTCTGCGCGAGACCTCTTTCTACCAGTTCCTCTGTGTCCGCGTCGTTAGGCAGATGAAATCGCTCTAGTAATTGAGGATACACGTATTTGTAGCCCAGAGCACTGCAAAAATATATATATATATACATAGAAGATCCGGTAAGTAGAGATAAGAAATATTGAGTCCCTTCCAAAACACTATTGACGGATCATATCCACAGTATTCAGCAATTATCAGCTCCGAAGCGGTTTTTTTTTGAAGTCGAAAGAAAGAAAGTGTTTCACCAATGAAATGTTTTTCGTTTTTCGTTCGTTTGTCTGCTTTAATGCCTTCTTCTGTAAAATCAATGCGGTCTGAGTGGAGTGGGGAGTATATAAACCCTTCCGTTAAAGGATTATAATCCAGCTGTGGAAGAGAATTTGTTAAAAAAGAGTTTTTGTTTTTTGACAACATTATACTTCAGTTTAGCACTTGCAATTCGACTTTTGCTGATAACTTCTTATTGTTACGTCAGAATAGTTTAGGGAATAAAACAGTTGCCCTTGATTTGTGAAGTTTATAGAAGTCGCGAACTTGATTAATTACAGGACAATGCATTAACAGGGGTAGCTAAATGTACCACAGGATACACACTAACTCGTATTGGAAAGAAGAGCTTCAGGTTATATTCTTACTTCAGTAACTTGGAACTGGCCCAGTCTAATATTGATTGCACTTTATGTCTGTCCTGTGGCGCCTTGCCCCAGCCGGCAAAGTCCGTGTACCTTTGAGCCAAATAACGTAATATTGGTAACCTGTAGGAAACAAAATTGCGATCAAATCTGTGTATACTTCTTGCAATTTAGGAAACAGTTCCGGGGGGGTACTCCCATATGTGAGCTAGAAAGATATGTGCCGCCCGATAGGATATAGTTTTGAGGATCTTGACCCCTTTGTAGGGTATCATTTTTGCCCTTGTTGGCATTGTGTTCACCGTTTGATCCTTAATCAGGGTTCCTAAATTTTTTCAGCTAAAATCCAAGAGCTTAAATGCCCAGCTTCAAGCGGAACAAATCATCTGTTAAAACTGAATTAGAGTATTAGCAGGTGTATAAGACGTTGTATTAGTTTACCCCATTAAATTCTTAGGTTTTGTTTTTCCCTTGAATGTATATAAAGTGTAATTTTTCGGCTTTGATGTTTGAATAGGGCATGAATTTTCGCTTGTCTTGCCTTGAATAGACCTATTCGGCCAACTCAATGTTGTACCCAATTCAAACCCTTTGGGATTAGAACTTTTTGTTTCAGGAATTTCCATGCATTTAAACGAGAATGCCTCATTATAATGCAAATACAATACACAAAGAATCTTAACCCCGGGAGATTTGAATTGGCTACAACATTGAGTTAGCCGAATAGGTCTATTAGGACCCTGGGCAGCACACACCAATCCAAACTAATTTTAGGGAGTACCCAACTGGGGGAAACAGAAAGATGTCTCTTTTTGTTAACACTGTAAGAAATTCCTTTTCTTCCTGTCACCATGTCAAACAGAGGGAATGTAGCGTTCAGTTTACTCGGAAGAATGTGTTTAATGTGGATCCAAATTGAAGTATCTATCAGCTAAAACATTGAGATTTATAACCAAATAACCTTTCATTGACCTTTGTAAGACTGCCTTTCTTTTTGTAACTTTATTTGATTTACCACAAAATACAAGTAACGATAAAACAAGACAGTTACACAAAAGCAAATGAAAGTGGCGAGGAAGCCCAAAAAGAAACCATGAGGCTTATAGACATTGGGCTCCCTCAGAGTAAAAATAAAGTTAACAGTAACGGTAAGGCCAGGATCGAAAGCAAAATACAATGAAGGTAAGTATAAATTAACTAATTACATAGACTGAGTTGACAAAATATAAGGTATGGTACAAGTAACAATAAGTATAAAAATAATATCAGACATGGAAGAAATATAACTCTATTTACTACAAGATTTATAACTAATAATTCATATATAATTTTTTTTTCAATTTCGTTTTGAATAAGTGGAGAGAATTAGATTCTTTAATATCATTTTCTATAGTGTTATAATAAGTAGGTCCTTGGAAACTGACAGAAAATTTACGAAGGTTTGTTCTACAAGAAGGAAGGTGAAAATCGTTCGCGTGTCTAGTGGCATAGCTATGGACTTGTTTGTTTAAAGAAAAATAATTGTTGAACTTTGAAGGCAAAAGAGAATGGTTAAGAGAAAACATAAGTTTACCTAATTCTAGCTGTCTAATATCGGAAAGTTTTAGTAGCTCTAATTCTTTGAAAATAGGGTCTGAATGAGAATCGAAAGTTGATTTAGAAATAATTCTGATAACTCGCTTTTGCAAAGAGACAAGACGGCGAAGATTGGTTTTGTACGTAGATCCCCAGACAATAATACAATAATGAAGATAAGGATAAACTAAACAATAATAAAGAGTTTTTAGACACGGTTTAGGTAGAAAAAATCTTGCTCTATTAATGACACCTATTGATTTCGAGATTTTACGAGCTACTTGAGAAATGTGCGGTTTCCAAGACAGATGTTCATCAAGGACTACACCGAGGAAGACCGTTTCCTTAACCTGTTCGATTCTCTGTTCGTTTATGCATACTTGCATTGGAAAATGATACCTTTTCTGTCTAGGCTTAAATAACATAAAGTTTGTTTTCTTTAGGTTTAAGGAGAGTTTGTTTGCCTTAAACCAAGTGGATAATTTATTAAGTTCGGAATTGAGTGAGGCTGCCAGGTAGACAGGATCTTTATGGGACATAAATAAATTAGTATCATCAGCGAATAAAATCAGCTCGACGAGCGTCGATACATTATTTAAATCATTAATATAGAGCAAGAAAAACAAGGGGCCCAAAATAGATCCCTGGGGGACACCACAGCAGATAGTTTGAGGAGAGGAGCATTGACCGTTAAATTGAACGAATTGCAACCTGTTGGAGAGGTAGCTTCTAACCCAGTCCAGAGCCACGCCACGTATACCATAGTGTTCGAGTTTGTCAAGCAGAATATTATGATCGACGGTATCAAAGGCCTTAGAAAGATCAAGGAAAACGCCAACGGCATGTTCATTGCGATCAAGAGCAAGGGAGATTTTTTCATATAGGTCAATCAATGCTAACGAAGTTGAATGATTTTTCCTGAAGCCAAATTGATTATCACATAGAATTTCTAGTTTACTTAAATAATTATAAAGACGGTTATAAACAACCTTTTCAAGAAACTTAGAAAAGCTAGGGAGAATCGAGATCGGTCTATAGTTCGTAAAGAGTGATCGATCACCGGCTTTAAAGAGTGGTATCACGCGAGCAATTTTCATTTGGTCGGGAACAATGCCATGAGAGATAGATAAATTGATTATATGAGCTAAAGGATCGGCTATAATTTGAATTGACTTTTTTATGATGGAAATGGGAATTCTATCATGGCCAACTGCCTTACCTGGTCGAAAAGCATTGGAAATTTCCGATAGCTCATTTGGAGTCACTGGATCAAAAAAAACACCGATTGACAAAAGTGACCAGAGAGAAAACTGCGGTGAGAGACAGACGAGTGAATTTCTTGAGTTTCTTGATCTTCCTCAGGAAGAGAGGCACTGCCTTTCAAAATATTGGCAATTGTACCAAGTTTACAGCAATGCTCGTTTTCGTTTATCAAGTGCAATGTCGAACACAAATTTGCCTTAGAAATGTTCATTTATTCCAGTTCTTATGAAATATTAATGAACATGTGCGAACGCTCTGCAGCCGGTAGTTCATTAATCTGCCTGGGCGGCAAGACATAATTTCGGTGGCCAGCCTTTCTTTTGTATGTGTGCTGTCTGTAGGTACAGTCAGAAAGAAGCCGGCTATTTATGTAATTGTTTTAACAGGCCTGAAAAACAAAGACAATCAACCTCAACGAGCAAGCACGTAAGCAAGACAAAGCAAACTAAAGACATTAAAGCACAAAGCAGAACAAACCCTCCGAAAATTGTCGTTTTCCCGTCGGCCAATATCGGAACTTCTTCGTGTGGATTCATGGCTACGAACTTCGGCTCTCGGTGCTCACCGTGGAAAACATTGACATCGGTGATTTCACAAGGTATCTTGTGCTATAAATAGAATGGGTATATAGATGAAAGCCATTTATGAGTGTGTAAACGAAATCATGCGGCACGCAGACTAAATGAAAGAAAGCAATAATAGAGAGGATTAAGAAAACATATTTTAAAAAAAGAGCGAAGTCGTCGGAAATATGACAATATCTGTTTTATGGACCAGCCTCGGAAAAAAAAATAAAACATTGGATGATAGACTTTACAAACATGCCAAATCGTTTCTTCAATTAGCAGATGTCCGTAAGCCTTCACACCTCTACGAGCACAAGTATTTAAAAAGCGAAGACATGCTGTTTCCAAGATCCAAACCCCTGCCCCTGAATTTGCATCTACATTTCCAATACAAAATCCTTTCGGCATGCTTTTTATTTCATACAAATGAAAACTTACGGACAGCACCTCGGTTTATTTTGCAATTTCTTGACTGCCGAATGCGCAAAAATTAATAAATGCGTTAGGGTATTAAAATTAAAATAAGGTTAACAAATTTACACATGAATATCTTAATAGCAATATCTTGTTGTTGTTATTTTCCAAAGCACCGTGCGATTTCTGTTATGGCGAAAATATAAAGGTCTACTTGCACAGAGCTCCTCCGAAGCCGGTTAAATATTAATGGTTTAAGTAGTAACAAACTGTCTGACTCACCTGTAACAAGTATAACCACACAATACGACAGCACGGCGATATTCGCACAAGGTAAAGCTTTAACTGTGTCTTTAGCGCCGGTTTGCTGCTTGCCATCTTTCACACGTACACCATCACTGAAATATAAATGTCTCCAAGAGCTGCAAGATTTGAATTGTGTTTCCTCAGTCAGATAAGTGTTTTTCCATTTACTAAAACGTTCATTAGCGAGTCGGTGCGGAAGTTGTTAAAGCAATTACGAATAGATTCCAATTTTATCCACCAGTAAGCCTCCGTTTGAATTAATAAGCAGTTTCTTTCCTTGTCAGATTCTAAATGTCATCTGATTTGTGTTTTTAATCCGCACAGGTGTACTCACATTGAGAATCGATTTGCTCCTTATGACATTGTAAAAATATTACGTGGCAAAACTGATTATGAGGAGCTTAAAAAAGGAAACAAGTCGTCTAAATTGTAAGCTCTCTTTTCGGTCACGTAGGAACGAAGACAGACTGGCAGCCATATATATTGAAGAGCTGGCTCACGGTTCACCATTTCTAGATTTACAAAACTTGTTTCAAGAGGGGGTCAGGCTAGGTGAGCAGACGTGTTTGTTTGCGGGGGAGTCGTCAAGTGCACTGAGTGGTGAAGCCGATCACAACTAGACTCACCCATTTGAAGCAGTTGCGCCGATTTAAAAACGCCAACTACCCAGGCTAGCCATGTTGAAATAGGGCTTTGTCTCCTCCGGAAAGGTTTGCCTCCTTTCATCTTACTCAGTGGATTCTCCCGGAAACGGAGAGCTGCTTTGAGTGCCCCTGCGGAGAAGAGCAATATCCATCCCTGAATATTCATGTTGAACTTTGCTGAACAATATTGGCTCTAATCATTCTGTTTAACGAGTTGTCAAATGTCCGACAACTACAGTCAGTCTTGAAATTGCTGAATTTTTTTCTTCCCATTCAGCAACTGCAACATCGCTTGCCGTTTGTTGAGCAACAAACAGTTGAATGATGTTAAACCCTGTATCATTCGATCAACAGCTTGTCATAACATGTTTTTTGACATTAAAAAGACTACATTAGACATGTATCATAACCGCTGCTGCAAGCGTTTGAACGAAAATGGAGACAAACTCTATTTTTTCAACATAATGCAACCTGCTAAATGAGTAAAGTTGATCCTATGTATTTCTTTTCAGCTGATTTTCATGCTGCAGCCCGGGCTGATCTTTTTATATTCTTTAGCCTGCCAGCAGGCTCAACTTGTGCAAGTTCGGGGAAAATTTTGTCGGCGGAACCACCAACGCGAGAGAAAAGGTCACTTTTCCTCCCGCGCTGGCGGATCCGCTGCCAGAATTTTCTTCGAGGCTATTTCTTCTCCCCCTCTCCATTTCTCGCCAAATGTCGTTGGAATTAGGGACGGTGCAATAATTATCAGGAGGGGGGGCTCAAAAACTAGAGTTATCTGGCAAAAACTTAGACAGTACCCCCCCTCCAAAACAAAAAAGTTAGTTCTAACCCCCCTCTGTTATGCTAAAAATAACGTCTCACCCCC